GGGCGTTCGAGATCGACTGCACCGCATTGGCTGACGAGCTGTGGGAGGGGCCAAAGATCGAAGCCACGCCCAGGGAGAGCTGCTCGCAGGCTGCCGATTGGACAGCAGAAAACAACACAGGACCAATCAAACGCTGACCCACAGAAAATATTTACATTTGAAACATTATTATATTCTTGATTTCTTATTTATAAACATTTACATTGTTATTTACAAATATTCACGTGATTTGGACTCGTTATGTTTTGCATCCGTCACTCATCTGTTGTAATGGACACTAATTACATTAAGCTGTGCACTCATCATTAACACCTGTATGTGTTCAGTGTCCGGTTTCGTCTGTGTTAAGTGTGTGTTGCTATCCGTTTGCCTTTCTGTTGGATCTTTAGAGAATAAACCTTCTGAATCGAGTCATATACGTCTTCCTCATCTGTCTGCCAGCAACCACCCGTGACAATTTGATTATTATTTACATGTTGGGTTTTATTTACAAATATATATTAAAAAAAAATTTTTATTTACAAATATATACTTTTTTATTTACAAATATGTGCATTATTGGTTTTAGTTTCAATTAAATTACATTTCTGTTTACAAATATTAATGTTCTTGTTTACAAATATTTAAAATTGTTCACAATTATTGTTTTTTTAACAAATATTTACATTTTATTTACAAATATATACATTCTTGAATATGTACATTATTGGGTTTAGTTACAATTAAATTACATTTTTATTTACAAATATTAATGTTCTTGATTATTGTTTACAAATATTTAAAATTAATCACAATTATTGTTTTTTTTAACAAATATTTACATTTTATTTACAAATATATACATTCTTGAATATGTACATTATTGGGTTTAGTTACAATTAAATTAAAATTTTATTTACAAATATTAAATGTTCTTGATTATTGTTTACAAATATTTAAAATATTTGATTATTTTTCACAATTATTGTTTTTTTTAACAAATATTTAAATTTTATTTACAAATAAATACATTCTTGATTATTATTTACAAATATTTACATTTTATTTACAAATATATACATTCTTGATTATTGTTTACAAATATTTAAAATTGTTCACAATTATTGTTTTTTTAACAAATATTTACAAATATATACATTCTTGAATATGTACATTATTGGGTTTAGTTACAATTAAATTAAATTTTTATTTACAAATAATAAATGTTCTTGATTATTGTTTACAAATATTTAAAATATTTGATTATTTTTCACAATTATTGTTTTTTTAACAAATATTTAAATTTGATTTACAAATATATACATTTTTGATTATTATTTACAAATATTTACATTTTATTTACAAATATATACAGTCTTGATTGATTATTATTCACAAATGTTTACATTTTTATTTACAAATAATTTACATTATTTTTAACTTAAAATATTTACATTCTTGATTATTATTTACAAATATTTACATTTTATTTACAAATATATACAGTCTTGATTGATTATTATTCACAAATGTTTACATTTTTATTTACAAATAATTTACATTATTTTTAACTTAAAATATTTACATTCTTGATTATTATTTACAAATATTTAAATTATTATTTACAAACGTTAAATTTTTATTTACAAATGTGTATATTCTTGTGTAGTGGTTACAGTAAATACATAATTTGTGAGGTCTTGCAGCTTTATTTTGCAAGAGTGCATTTATTTTAGAGTTTACTGCCATCGGATGTGTTTTTTAATCCAAATTATTTTCTGTGTATTTATAGACGGATGCAGTTCATATGGTGAAATTGTATAGAAACCAGAACTTTCTTTAATATTGGCTCTTTTTGTGATCATATAATTCTCTGAAGTGATTTTTTTGTGTTCCCTTTAGAGCATGACTGTATAAATCAGCATAAATCTACTTATAGTATTTCGGTTTGGAACGACATAATGACAGAATTTATTGCACCATGCTGTCTGAGCGCTAACACAGAGATTAGATTTTATGATAAAAACACACATTTTATGATTTTCCCGCAGCAGTCGAGGTCACTAATGCACATATTCAAATGAGCTGCTTCTATTTGTCCATCTCAGGCTCAGTTTTAAACTGGATGTTCTTTGACAGCAAAAGCAGCTCACGAGCTATTTCTCTAAATGAGCCCAATTTCACTTTCCATTCCAGCGTAACCGTCGCGTCTGAAAGCAGCCAGAGAAAAAAAGGTCATTCAAATTACAAATGAGGCCAGAGCTGAAGCTTTGGGTGCGCAGGGGAACAGGGCAGCGTTTGGGAGGATAAAAGAGCCCGTTTTCAGGAGCGCTTGAGAGGAAAACTCTCTCACCTTTCCTGGACGCCTCGAAACTGTCGAAGACGTTGATTCTCTGGATGTCGTACGTGAGCGTCGTGTTGGGCAGAAGCGTCCGGTTCCTGTTGATGGTGTTCAGTGCGAATTTAAAGGCCAGTTCTTCTGGTCCAGATGGGCCGCTCTCTATCGACTCGAAGATCCCTCCTGCACACAGCGGTGGGGAAAGTCATGCATTACAATATTGCGTTACTCCCAAAAAAAGAAGTTACTTTTATTAAATGTAATGCGTTACGTTACTTTTGCGTAACTTTTTCTCACCTGGGCTGGGCTTGCTTGTTTAAAAAGTTATATTTTTGGTAAATTTTAAGGCCCTTTCACACCGAAAGTGAAGTGAATAATCCTCATGATGAAGGAAAAGCAGATTTAACCCTTTCAGCTGCTGATATTCTGGATTACAGAACAACAGGAGACCGGAGGAGAAGTTCAACTCTCTTATTACTAGATCTCATCTAAAGTCATTTTTTGCTTATTAGTCTGGCTGAATTAGATCATTGATGGTCAGCAGCAAAGACATCGGTTAATGAAGTGAGATTAAATACATAAAGTATATTTGTGTCATTTAATATAGTTAATTATAAATATGGATGTGCATTTTACTGTTTTTATTCATTTTGAGGAATACTGAATGTTTTCGTGCAAGTGAGACGAGTAAATGCATGATCACATTTAGTCTAGAACTGAAATAAGCATCATGTTTACACACACACACACACACACACACACACACACACACACACACACACACACACACACACACACACACACCTCACTTTATTTCTCATGAGGACAGGAGAGCTGTCAGTCAATGAATGTGAAAAAGTAACTTAGCTATTTTGTTGTACATTGAAAAAGTAATGCGTTATTTTACTAGTTACTTGAAAAAGTAATCTGATTACGTAACTCAAGTTACTTGTAATAAGTTACAAACAACACTGCCTGGAGACACACACACAGGCTTCATCTTCTCACTTACACACACCAACGTCAGAGAGAGAAAACAGCATCTGGACACCAAAACACTGAAACTCCCAAAGCGCCGGAGCTTCATCAGTCAAACATCTGCAATCTTGTGTTCTACTAGATCTTTTGTTTTCATGTTAATCCCTGTGGGGAAAATCAAGCGTTTAATGTTGTTTATTGTTCATAATGTGGTGTTTTTAATACGCTTTAAGACAAACCATGTGTAAGTTCATAAGTCGACAGCATTGCTGAGTATTTTCTGTTTAAAACTGCAGTGAACCAAAGACAGTCTCAAAAACACGGTTTGAAATCGCTGGTGTTTCTGACGTCACAAACGAGCTTGTAACCAATCAGATCAACGTGTGATCGTCAACCAGTGGATATCTGAGCTGAGTGAGTGAGTGGAGGCGGGGCTCATTTGCATATTCATAGAACCACGCATACTAAATGAGGCAAGGGTGTCGAATTACATTCAAGATATTTTAAGACATGAGGAATTATTTTTCAATGAAAAAAACGTTTAAATACGTCATTTTGGTGATCGAAGATGAGTTTTAAGGGATACAATGATTGACTACAGGGGGACTTTACATTTTTTTGTAATTTCATTATGTGTCATTTTATTATTATTATTATTATTTCAATATTGCTATTAAGGTTTAATTTATTTTTATTTTATTTTTAGTATTAGTTAATGATAAAAACCCTACTTGAATGAAAATAACTGACTTAAACTGAAAGTACAATTAAAATAAAATATAGAATTTTTATTTTATTTCAGGCAAATTTCTGGTTTAATTAAGTTAATCTTGATGAACTAAAATAACTAAAACTAAAGCAAAATGAATATAAACTTATGCAATTCATACAGTGCAATCACAGAATTCTGGAGATCAAACTAAATTTAATTAAAGCTTGTTTTATTTTTACATTCACTTTTATAAAGTTTTGAAATGTGTTTGAAAATCATGTGAGATAGATAAATAAATATGTTTTTGGTCATTAAAATAAGTTAATAAGTTAAAATAAGTTAACAATGTATTACATATTTACTTATACAGTGAACTGAATGACATTTCAACAGATGATACCAAAATTTCTACATGTAATTTGACGTACAATTATGACTGTTTTCTGTAGAGCTGCTTTATAGTGACACATTTTGCCGTTATTGAACTGAACTGAATCAACATGGATCCGAATAATGACTCTTCGGTCTTCTGTAGAGCTGCTTAATTCCTGAATCTAAATTTGTCTTATATTTGATGATGAAGTTTGCATAATTGATTCTGTTTATTACCATGAAGCTGCTTTGAAACAATCTGTGATGTATAAAGCGCTGGATAAATAAAGCTGACTTGACGTGATTTTGGATAAAAGCCCTGCTAAATGCATGTAAAATAAATAAAACGAATGCATCTGACCACATCTGCATGCGATCGGCCACGAGTTTGTCCATTACTGTGAAGATGAATTATGCAATGAGTTATGGAATAATTGCCAATATCTTTATCGCTCTCACTGCCTCCGTCTGCAGGAACACACACATATTCATAATCACAGCCCTGGCGATAGATAAGTGCAGCACAAAGCTTGTTTCTGCTCTCTGAGTGGATCATTATATTCTCCTGCTGAATCTGAGGTGTTAATGTGTGAATGTGTGAATCTGCTAATGATTACAGTCACTAAAACACTCTCTCAGACAGAGATGATTGAAACTAGAGATGCACCCGTACTAAAAACTACTGAAAATCTCTCCCAACTAATGCTGTAAATACGCAGGGATGATCACAGGTACATTATATTATCAGAGGTTAAAATCAACAACAGAGCCCAAACATGTATATTAAGCTGCTATTTATTTTCAAGTATAATAATTAGTGCTGTGCAACGATTAATCAAACCAAAATAAAAGTTTGTGTTTACATAATATATGTGAGTGTGTGCTGTGTATAATTGTTTTGTATATATAAATACACACACATGCATGTATCTATTTAAGATTTTTTTTTATTTATACATAAAATATTAATATTATTTACATATAATATAAATTGTATGTAAATATATATACAGTATATACATGCAAATATTTCTTAAATATGCTGTCAATGATTGTAAATGAGGACATAACACTCTAAAATCACAACAAAAGCAAGTTTGAGCTGCTAAATCAACAGATTAGTTACAGAAAAACTAGACTTTCAGGAATTTTACAGCTGAATTTCTCTCTCTTTCTCTCTTTCTCTCTCTCTCTCTCTCTCGTTTTCTATCTCTCTCTCTCGTCTCTGTGTAATTATGATAAAGCTGTTATCCTGCTTCAGTCTTTGCGGAGCTAAAAACAGCCCTGAGTTGAGTCGATGTTATCCGCCTTGCGAAGGTAAAATGTCAAGCCTTCGCTCGCTTTCACGCAGCTCTCAGATCAGTGTTCAGAGGATATTAGATATTACGGTCATATTTCATCTGCACTTACTCCTCAGAATCAAACCCAGAACATCTGAGGCTCCGTCTCGTCTCGAGACGCTCTAGTGTGATCTGAGCCTCAACTAACTCAATTATTTAACTTCAGAAACAAAACCAAAGAAATCTGACCTGTTTCATTGAAGCATGACTGACAGATATACTGCGCTTTATGTGCATTTCAAATACATAAATCCTATATTTATTAGGGGTGTAACAATATCACGATACTGATACTAAATATACTAAAAAAATATTAATATAGTGAGGATTTTAGAGAGCGCACACACACACACACACACACACACACACATCTGTCTGACAAACACACTGAGACAGACGGCTTCTGCTTACACACGCACACACACACACACACACACACACACGCGCGCGCGCACACACATACACACTCACACATATACACACACACACACACACACACCTCACACATCTGTCTGACAAACACACCGAGACAGACGGCTTCTGCTTACACACGCACACACACACACACATACACACACATACACACACACACACACACACGCGCACACACACACACACTCACACATACACACACACACACCTCACACATCTGTCTGACAAACACACAGAGACAGACGGATTCTGCTTACACACACACACACACACACACACACACACACACACGGACCTCCTCTGGGCTGATGAATGAATTTCCTGATCAAAGTCTATTAAAAATATAACTATTGATGAAATGTTTGTTTAGATCAATGGCTAGAATTAAGAGTGTCGATTACGGCGGAGTGAACCGACACTGCGGTAGAGTTAAAGGAGTAATTCTGCTCTTTTCCGTTTAACGAATGTTAATACAAAATAATGTTGAAATAAAAACTAAAATAAAAAAATAGAAAAAAATTACAATTAAATAAAATTTAATAAAAAATTAATTCTATTAATATAAAAATAAAATAAGAAAATTATATTAAATAAAAAAAGGGGAAAAAACATAAATAAAATAAATTAAATAAGAATATAAAATATAAAAATGAATAGATCTTTAACATAAATATTGCCTCTGTGACTGATAGCAAAACCAGGATTACCATCATTTCTGTTAATTCAAATAAAGCTGAAATAAAATAAAAATGTAAACAGCTAAAAAACTTAAACTGAATGAAAATTAGAAATGTTGCGTTGGCAACAACTCGAAACAAGTTTAAGTTGAAGCACTAAAATTATGAACTCAAAAATAAAAATGTATTAAACCTAAATAGCAATATTTTAAGAAAACAAAAAACTAATGAAATGACAAAAGCACTTAACTCAATAAAAATGAAAGTCAAATTAACATGAAACAAAACCAAAATGTTAATAAAACTATAGTAAAAACTTAAATAACACTGGGTAAAACTAAGCAAAAAAAAAAGAGAAAATATTCTCATACTTTATTTTATTTATTTATTTGTAAGTGCTTCAAATGCAAACATAAGAATAAAAACAGTTTGGTTACCAACATTCTTCAAAATATCTTGCGAACGAACTTCATGCAGGTTTAGAACGACTTGCGGGCGAGTAAATGATGAATTATGGGGTTAATCTGCGTTCCCTTCCCACAATGCCCTGCAGGAACAGCAGAACAACAGGAATGAACGTGGAAACCCTGATGAAATGCAGCATTCGGCTTCAGTCGTGACCTTTTGAGCGTCTCGACACGCGCAAACACTGATGCAATCATCTAACACAAA